ACTTATTCCATTATGCAAACTTATACTAATGTGGCATAGCCGAAAGTTTGCATTATGTGTAAGTGCATACATATTTTCAGTGAGCCTACTCTCGCTCAAATAGCATTTTACTATGCATAGCTTTGTAGGCCTAGATTTGTCAACCTTTGCAAAATATTTTTCATTCTTTTTTATCTAGCGAATTTTCTAAAGAAAGGGAGAAAGCTAAAAAGCGAGGAAAATATCAGAAAGCAAGGGAGCAAATGCAGTTTGCTGAGGATGTGCAAGGTTATTTGGACTGGATAGGAGCTGCTGAAGATATTAGTGATGATGAGGATAACGGCATTGCGAGCACTGACAAGGAAAGACGTGAGTATAACTTACCTTACCCCCAATTTTTCTGCAATAATAATGCTTCCTAAATTTTTATCATTCGAACTCTAGTCCTTCGTAAAAAAAGTGGAAAGCTTACACAATGAATTGCTACGCTTGTATTAATTTTATTTCTCTTGTTTGATTAGCTGTTATAAGTCCTTGTTTTGGTGAAAATTTTTGATCCTGAATAAGTGTTTTAATTTTATGTAGGGTTTGCTTGTTCAGTTTTACTTACGAAGATCTGTACAGGCTCCCATCAACTCAAAATTTCTTGAAAAACCTAATTAGATTCCTGTTGTATAGCCTAAGTTCTGGCTTTCTGTCAGAAAGTATTGTTGGGTTGGCTCGACCTTGTTTTTGCAACTTGTTTGGAGCGTCAGGGAGAGATTGTGGAACGTACCTGGTCCCGTGTCCTCTGCCATAGTATTAGTGATTTCCAGCATTGGAATATTGACTGGGTGCATTACCAAAGGTTTCGCTGGCATCTTAGTCAGCATCATCAGTGAGATGCACCATAGTAAGCAAGAATTAGGACTTATCGAAGTGACTTGTCACTTCTATGTTGGGATTGTCAATGAAGCAAAATGGTATTTCTTGCAGTAATCGACTACGTTACTTATGCTTGGCTTATAAAACTACGTGACAAGATTTGAGAAGTCCGGTGGAAGGGATTCGTAGATTGACCTCACTGGATGCCGAAGTAGGGTTGTTTGGGCCTTTTGTCTGTTGAATTGTAAGAAGAATGCCTCGGCTCACCGTCCTATGACCCCGATGAC